TCACTTTGAAACTCGAATCCAGTACCGTTCGTTTTAAATATCATTATACTATTCACTTAGCTACTGAATTCTGATAGCCACTAACTTATGCAGTGGGATGAAGTTTAAATTCATTTTGTATTGTCTGTTTGAATTTTCCCATTGATGTTTAAGACTGTAATTGATCAGTTTCGAGAATGAATTATATTTATAGGAAATAATCAACTCATTGTAGTTCATTGCTTACTCTTTTTACCTACATACAAGTGAATAAGATATTTAAGATATTAGTTGTTGGGGACGATAGATCCCCAAAACTCATGTTTTTTAATTTTATCTTTTCGACCAACTTATCGATTAAATGTTTGAATGACAGTCAATTGATGAACTTATCGATTAAATGTTAAATAGCGGTCAATTGATGAACTCATTGATTAATGTTTAAAAATTTTCCATGACAATATCGACTGTAAATATTTGTATAAATACTCTTGATTTGTGTGCTTGACCTGACTTGGTATCTGCTGTTTGCCTATAGAATACACTGCCTACGCCTTACCAAGACTTCTTGATCGAGTTAGCTGAGTCGGGGACAACGGACCAGAATAGCTATCGAGTCTCTGAATCATTGATTCTTAGTTCCGTTCGAATAAGACGAATCAGTAGTAGCATTCAAGCTTAACGAACCTAACGTTACTATTATGTAATAGGACAGAAATTTAGCTTGTTTAGAAGGATCAAAGAAATATGAGTTTAACTAAAATGATTACAGTCAGTCAGTCAGCTACAACGTAAGACCAGGCACATATGTGCATCGGTCCAAGTCGTCATACCTCATTAGCGCAACAAGATGAACACCGGATTCTTATGTTAGAAAAGTCGTTAGAGGTTAATCATTAACTCTTTTTGAATACAATCGTAAGGATTAAATATTCTAATCACTATGGCTCCTGCAAAGTCTTAATAAGATGGGATTGAACTGTTTATTGATAAATTTGAGTGCGTTCATTGCATTTATGTTATATCTCTTGTCTAGTAGGTAGTCTCATGTCAAATTAAAAAAGTTGTTTTATCCTCAAAGGTGCATATGTTAATAGGAATGAGTTCAGTAAAACGAATGGAAATCAGGATTTTTATCCTTCTGATGTAAATGTTTTGCCATGCACATGTGAATTGATAAAAATAATCAGACGGGATTTATAATGAACATTTGTCTCTTATTATTTATGTTAGTGACCATAGTCTTGTATATGGTGGAACCAGTTTTGGACTGATGAGTGTGCTTTTTAAAACTGTTTTTAATCATTAATTTTATTCATAAATTGATCAACTTTGCAAACTTCTTCCTATTATTTCGATATTCCGAGGTGCATTACTTTATAAATGCTTGAGAGCATCCATTTACTTATGGATGGTTATTTATTTCCGTATATTCCTCCTTGAGGTTTTCTGATGAATATAACTTTTTGACTCTAAGAGAGGATAATTTCACTAATCTATATCTATAGCATATATGTCACAATCTGTATAAATTTAAGCATTATCCACTGCAGTTTGATTTCCTACATGTTTACATTCGGTAAACTTCATTAAGATGGTGGAGAAGATTTGTAGCTCAGGTGGATGATTTTGGTGGAGTTTTGTTCTCCGAGTTGGATGGTTTGGTCGTGGAGCTTTCATCGTTCTTCTGAACGACATCATCAGCACAAACTTCAGATAGACTTCCAGCTCAGAGAAAAAAACTTCATCAAAAGGTAAAATTAATTCTTTCTTCGAAAGGTAACTAAATCTCAAAAAAAAGATTAGAACACACCTTTTTCTTCATGTCTCATTGAAAACTTACTATTAAGATGTAATGTATTGAAGCTTTCAAGTATCTGACCTAAATTTATCGATTATTTGTCTAATCAATATCCGTTTAATAGACGTGACTGAACTATGGTACATCATTTTACATAACATGATTTGCAAAAATAGTCATGAATAAATCCCAATTTTTAATTGTGATCCATTGTTTAGGAAGTAATTTAACAAAGAAAGACATAATGGTGAAATTCATATTTGATGTTTAGTCATATTTTTGATCTTCACAATGAAATTCATTAGTTGATCTAAGCTAAATCATCATTGAAAACCTGGAATCATTAGAAAGTTGTTTTATTCTAGTATGGAACTCCTCAGCAGTGAGCATCCACGATCCCACACACAGGACTCAAACCTATGACCTACGGTCTTATGCGTGAACGCTTAACCTCATGACCTGATTTACCACATACACATTTATATTACTTAACTTTGAGTCATATATTGTGTGAAGGCTAATTATTAATATCAACTGGATAACCAAAATTGAAGTAATTGAGAGCGTGACTGTAAATTCTTAACCTTTTAATGGGAAATCAAGTGTTTTGATCTAATAGTCAATGGACAAACTTTTAATTATCTCTTGGACTTTTATTCAGTCCACACACTGAATGTGAATACAAGGTATAGTTTTGTAGTAAGCCTAATAATATCAAATAATTCAGAGAAGATAGGGAAGTAGTTTTCAATTATACAATCTGATTGTGAATTTGGTATTATCTCTTTTAATTCTTATTTCACACCATTATTCATTTAGAGATTAGGTTTCATATTACATGTTTTTTTTCTTTTAATAAGTAGTAATGGTAAAATGTACCTGAACAAATTCCAATGTGACATTGAAATTTGTACAAACTACTACTACTACTATTACTACTATTGTTATTGTTGGGACGGCTTCCGAGAAGCCGGATGGAGCCTCTAGACGCCCTAAAGGAGACGAGGAGTTTTTACCTAGTTAGAACTAGATAGAAATGTCTAGAATATCAATGTAACATGCTACGATTAGATGGTAGCATAACTTGCCTACTAGCTGATTGGCTGAATTATAATGATGCTATAGTTAACGCTAATATTTATAGATACCCATGATTTTTTTGCACATTTTTGATTCGTACCAAACAATCACTTGTCCTGCTTCTTTTTTCTTCTATTTTGAGACTGTGAGGTTCTATACGTTCGGGTGTCATTAGTTGTATATCGTATTCCGTATAACAGAGTAACGGTTATCTCTATTTACTTAGTAACCTTTATAAAGTTTTCTCTGCTATGTAACCGATATCAGTAAATAGATCAAAGAAACTTGTAATGTAGTTTACAGTATTTTACAGACAATATTCTCATTGTTTATAAAGTCACAATGTAATTTTCACGAAACTAACTCGTTTTGAAATTTTACTAAGAGAAATTAAAATTTTAAATTATGTAAACAATAGAGCACATGGCTCAAAATCGTTTACAATGGTGCAGATATATCCACTCTTTATGTTCTGCCAAATTCTAATCTTCCGAATTCTTTATGTCCCTACTTTTTTCTCATTCCAACCTTATTTCACTGGATTATACTCTTTTGAATAACATCTTCAAACCCTAATCTTTCCGATTACTGCTTATACTCTTACCACCTCTACGAATATGGGATTTGAATCGAAAAATGCATCTCTGCGCTAATGTGGTATGGCAACTCGAACCGATGTACGTACGTAAGAAGTTTCACTTTGTTACTGACTGACTGAGAGCACATGATATACGCTGATATTATTCAGTATAATCAGGAGTAGAAGAAGAATAACATGGAAGAATAGGAAATTTGAATGATAGACATTGATTTATGGGATAGCAACTATTATTTGATTAATACAAATTGAATAGAACCTTTTGTTTACAACATATAACTAGATGTATATTTTTGTTCAGTTTATGAAAAAGAGGAAATCGTTTTTCTTTCTTCTTTTTAATTGATTTACTTTTATATACTATTGTCATTGATAAATGTATTGGAGGAAATTACCATTTTCTCATTATAACATTTAATACAATGTCACTGGACTAATGTTCACAATTGTCTTGTAAGTAATGAAGCCAATTTTAGCTTTTGTTTTGATTACTTTCGAAGATGTATTATGTACTCTCAATTGTTTGTTTGTTTGTTCATGTGCTCTTCCATTTTCCAGTTTCTTTTTAAAGTTTCATATTATGAATGTATTACTTAAATCCTTTCCATATTATTTATAGTGATATGTATAGTTTGTAAAACCTTTCAATGTTCATATGATTTACGGGTTTTTTGTTGATAGATGACAACGGATAATGAGATTATTTACTTGAAAACATCTGTTTTCAGAATTATATATACATATATGTATATGTGTACATTCACTGAAATAGTGAACTGACCAGTGTTAGACCACCATTGAAAAGCTGAATTCGTTGGATGGAAATTTCATCCTAGTATGAAACTCCGTAATCCTACAAGCGGAAATCAAACACAGTACCTTCGATCGTGCGCGAAAACACTTAGACTCTAGATCACTGAATCGGCTTCCATCAGGGTTAGTGTTTATCTTTAATCAATCTACGATAATTCACAACCATTTTCCATTCTCTCCAATAGGAGGTTGCCACACACCCAACACGGTTAAACTTCACTGGTCACAGCTTCTCACTATAACTTCAAGAATTATCTCTGGAAGTTAGTCATTAGTGGGCACAAGATTATTATCAGTAAGAGGTTGTAGAAATTGTTGAGTTTCAACCTGCGTGCATAGTCGCGGATGCGAGGAATCCCATACAATGGCGAAACGGCCATCCAATCCTTCCGGGTTTTCCATGATCTTCTAACATTGGCCGGTCAATGATTTCAGTAAAATTCAAAAATCTTCACAACTCTATACCAATATACATATAGTTTTTGCTAAAAATCTTTCCACTTAACGCTTGACTACACAATGAATATGTCTTTATGTTTACAATTCTTTTCCCACTCTACTTTTCAACAAAAAAATCCCCAGAAGTATTTATACTAGTTAGAATTATTTTTCGGTTTATTAATGAAGCAGATAAAACATTAAACTAACTAACTGACAAACAAGCAAACAAACAGTTGCCTGTATATCAATTTAGATAAAGTTTAAACAGGAAACTTAAATAAATAAAAAGAGAGGTACATTGGAATATGAACACTAACCAGTTGAAGTGTTGTCTGTTAAATATTCCATGTCATGTTATACACGATTATTTTTGTTTTACTGAACTAATGATTCTAGTAAATAGTTGATTATAAAAATGTAACATTTTAAAAAATGCAGGGAAATGAAAAGATTGTTCCTATTCTGGACTGATTCTGGTTAAGTAATCATTGAAACCAGAATGAAATTCATCACCTTACTGTGAACAATAGGGTTTAATCATGTTGAACATAAATACAAATTTCACTGAAAGCCATGGATAATATTTGCATAATATTTAGCGAAGTTAGATATATAAACTGTTGATTTCCACCAACTCGTTAATCTAAATGTTAAGTGTATGCTGATAGTCTTGGAGGTTGGTAACTCAACCTTTAGTGAGATGGTAGATGAGTATCACTAAGAAGTTATGTATTGGGACGAAATAGCTGTTCAATACTTTTTGAACTTGAATTGTTGTCTAATCGAATTCTGGGCATATGATAAATAGTCGTCAATGTCAAGTTTCCTTAGTCCTTTCTTACTGATCGAATTCGATTGATCAAGCTGAAATGTGGAAACTAGTCCAGCTCATTGATAACGTTTATAACTGTGAATCTATGTGATGCAGAGTTTGAATTACAAAATGAATGTCAACCCTCTCAACACCCCAAGTTATATTCTATCATTAAGTGTCAACTGATACATAATCTATGTTTAGGCTTTTAAGCTGACTACATTCGACGCTCAAACAACTATTCACTATTATGAACTAGAGCAAAACAGAGTTGTCACTCCCTCCTCCTAGTTTTCATCAGTTCTCGATCTGATAACTGTCAACAATGGGAAGAAACGGCCGTCCACTGCTTCCAGGTTTTCCATGATGGCCTAGGTTCAACTCTCAGAGACCTTATTTATTATTACTTGACAACAAATAACTTCATTTCACACTCATATATATATATTGATATAGATATTAATAATGAGAGATTCAGTCACGAACCTAATGGGTCAGTAGTAGTTCGGGTCCTGAAATTGAGTCACATGCGCTCGCAATCTATATGGAGTATCAGTGGTGTCAAGATTATAGATACGCTTTTATTAGTGAACATCTATCAAGAAACAAATTATTGTCTAGGATATCCTATCTACTAACTTCAATGTATGAACATATTGGAAGATTCATATGTAAATGGAAGTTTAAATCTATAATACTGATTTAATTGTTTACATTTCTCATATTTTGGAAATATGAGTATACATGCATAATAGCCAATCATAGAGTAAATAGACTGTTAATAGCTAACAATGTGTTAATACTTCATAACAGACAATACAGAATCATATTGACAAGATGTTGGAATGACATTATACTTTGTTATCAGTATCAAATAGCTGATAAATCTAAAGTTTTTTTTTAAAAAGGAATTAACGTCACGTTTCTGTGTTTGCTTGTCTACATATATCGTTTTGTACTGGTTAGCTTTAGTAACCTGTGAAAATGTCTAAAACAATAAAAGAGGGAATTGTGTAACCATATTCTATGTCAAATTCTAGATTTAAATAATTCAAGTAGATTCATAGAATATTCAAGATATATGTGAGTTTGTATATTCCTAGTTTATTTGGAAATCATTCTTAAATGATTGAAAGACTGTAGTTTGACTTATTACTATATAGAAATCAATATTATGTTGATATTGTACTAAGTATTGATTGAATTCTATCAAATAAGTTGTAACTTGATTTCTGGTCAGGGTGAATCGACATGACATAATCTCAAGCTTTGATGTTCCGTGTTTAGAGTCAAGTGCTACAACACTTTAAACACAAGTATCTGATTATCAGTACCAGTAAGCAATGCATATTTACAATCTTCAGAGAACATATTCTTATGGTGGAATCTGAGCCCTGGAGTTAGATTGTGAAACTGAGTGACACTAGCTTGAATCTCACAATGAGTTTCAGCTTGTCCAAGATGATAAGTATACCTTGCTGTCGATCACTAACTAGTGAGAAACCTAAGTCAAGTAGGATGTCCTTCGTACTAGTTTCAGCCATCTAAGAAGCCTGACATCATAGTTAGAATTAAAATATGACAAATATGGTATCACTTACCATTTAGTAATCAATCAAAGTACATATTCCAGTCCTATAAAAGATTTGTCTCACTTTCAATAACTTAGAGGTATTAGTTGTAACAATAAATGACCATGTTTGGATCCAGTACAAGGGCACCCATCCTCTTAAGATGGCCAACACCTCTTAATGATAAAATTCAACTTACAGAAAATCTACATTTATGACTTCCTACCGACTCTTCCTAATCACTAAACATAAACTCTAACTGCATGCAATTTTGGCAAAGTAATAAAAGCATTTCTGTTTTCGAAAATAGAAAGAAATAGGTGGTTCCATAGCAATTGACAATCAACATTATATCTATCCACGTGATAAGATTTTCAGCTTAGATAAATGCTACTGATGATTATACTTTTACAGGCCAGGATGATGTGATTGCCAATTTTCCACCATAACTCTGAATGAGACCATCAATGCTTAATTCAAGTGGAACTATGCTTTCCAAAGTTCATCAGTAGACAATTAAGCTGTCCGTTCTGATGATCTTTTTTGTAGTTTTATACAAGATACTAGTTTCACTTAGACCATAACTGGAAACTAAGAAGCTCTGGGTGACTAATTCGTCATAGTTTAGGTCTCCTCAGCAATTCATATTCATGATTCAATAGTGGGTGACCACAATCGAAACTCACTAAAACTAGGAATTTAGGCCGTTGAATGTCACCTCAGCAGTTAGTAGAATAAACCGCCATCACAAGACCCAGAGAATCCAACTGTAGAACCCAGTGGGGTCCTGAATGCTTACTTTCAAAGAGTCTCATGCTAGGACGAAATAACTATCTAGTGCTTCATGGTCATCAAAGGTTGTTTAATTATAATTATACTATGATATAACATTTCAAACTTTAAAAGCCCATACAACTCTTCTTTACTGAAAGATCTGTCAATCATTGATTCAATATAATATATATTAATAATTATTATAAATAAAATCTATTCTACTCACTTTGATAATTTCAACCATTTCATGCTTTTCAATAGTTCCATTACCATTAATATCATACATTTGAAATGCCCATTCAAGTTTCTCTTCTGGTTTACCACCTGATGTAATATTAATTGCTAATAGAAATTCTTTAAAATCAATTTTTCCAGAATTATCTTTATCGAATGTTCGAAATACATGTGTACAAAATTCTTCAGCATCACCATCAGGGAAAAATCCAGAATACACTTCAATAAATTTCTTTTTACTTAATTGACCAGAAGGACAATCTCTCTACAAATAATAATAATAATAGTAATATAAGTATATGCTATTTATATCGACATAAGTAGTATATAACGTTAGTTAGGAATAGAATGTCTAGCAGCAGAAGTTTGAAATGATCGTGAAGAGAAGAATGGGAACAGAAAGCAATTGGTATGGAAATGTAGGAGCAATGAAGTATGAAACAATTAATGAACATTTTGCAAATGAAGTATTGGTGTATAAGTTTTCTATTTTATGAAGTAACTCTGTAATTTGTACTAAATATGATCTGTTGTCCTCATCTGTGCTCATCTCCACATCAGTCAGTCAGTAACAACGTAGAACTTCGTACGTATGTACATCATACCACATTAGCTCGGAGATGCAGTTGTCGATTCAAATCTCATAGTGGTAGAGGTAGTAAAATTATAAATGAATGGTTTAATTATATCATTTATTCTGAACTCTAATTAACTTTGAACGGTTTCATTTTTCAATCATTATCAAACTAAAATAAGCGTAACATCTGATGTATAATATAATTTTGAGCAATGCTTGTGTAAGTATTGAGTTCCTCATTGACTATGACTAATTAATAGAATAATAAATACACTTCTTCTTTCACAATTGATTGATCACTGGGTGGTGATCAATCTCATGCTTGTCTAGTCCTTAATAGTGCAGATCGAATGCTATCGATCACGGCTCGGATAGCTCAGTGGTAACGTCTCTGACTGTGAAGCTGGGTGACACGAGATCGAATCCGCCAGGGAGCACCAGTTCCCTCAAGATTACAGGTACACCTTGCTGACGAGTGCCAGGTAGCACGAAACCCGGGTCCAGGGTTTCCTGTTGACTACCACCATCTAACACTTCTTCTTTATCAACATCTATTTTACGAATCATAAATTATGTACAATATAAATAGAATATAACAATTTAAAAATGATATATTGTGGCGTGTACTACTGATGTTAATAAATATAAGTAGTATGTAGCATCAATAGAAAACGAAATACCTGGCAGTAGAAGGTTAAGAAGATTGAAGACAAGAGAATAAGAACATAGAGTAATTGATGTGGAAAAGAAGAATCAGTCAAATCTGAGACGACTGATCGATATTTACAAAAGGAATAGTCAAGTTTGAGACAACTGTTTAACATTTTGCAAATTAAATTTTTACTGTATGGATCCCAGATTTAATTAAAGCGTTTTGTAAGTTTGTATTGAACTACATTCTATTGTCCTCACTTATATTCACGTTCACTTCAATATCCCTGAACACCATAGACAACATGATACTAGATCAATTTCAAATTTTATATTACAGTAGAATTAAACTAAACACTATTCACATTAAGTTGACTGATTCTAATTCATTTTTTTTATATAATTTAATAGTTGAATTCATAAGTCAATTAAAGTTAGACCACCATGAAAATCTTGGAAGCCCTGAATAACCGTTTCGTCCTATTGTAGGACTCCTCAACTGTACGCATCCATTCATCGGTGTTAATGGCTAACTACAACTGATCCACGAAATTGCATCACCGTACAACATTGATCTAGTTTTAATTGACTCATGATCTCAACTATTAAATTACTATAATATCGACAAAAGCCCCTTTCTGATTAAAATCATAATAGATAAACAAACGATATATATATATTTGTGGTAAAACATATTAGTTAATGTGGATTCGAATCATACAACCGGGTACAATTTCGTCTGAGATTATATAGATACTATGTCAGTAAGGGTTAATTAACATCAAAACCTAATTTCTGGATCTTTTTAAAAACTTAACTATCAACCATATTCATCTAATATAAGTAACCTTTAAGTTTATGGTACTCAGGTTATAACAAAACAAAGTTATAGTTAAGCTAATTAAATTGTTCCTTATTAATGATAATCTCAATATTCCTAATGTTTATGTGTTGTTAATAACAATGAGTGATAAAAATTGAAAATCTGTTGGAAACCATTTTGTGCTGAAAAGCTGTTTCGTTATAGTTTGGTAGTCATCATTAGTAATAGGAACATATTAAACTAAACAACAATAAACTAAACAATTGAGTTGGTTTACATTATCATGATTGGTAATTTTGAGGTAAGTTGTGGCTTATTGTTTTATTCTTGAACAAGCGGCATCATTGATGAACACGGTGGATCTAATGCAGATGTGAAGGCGCGGATCTAGAACTCAAAATAACTGTCAACCAACACCAAAGTCAGAATTTTCAATACAAATGTCAAGACAGTTCTACTGTATGGGGTGGAAACTTATACCACTACAAAAGCCATAATCCAGAAGATACAATTGTTCATTAACAATTGTCTACACAAAATTCTTGGGATCCGTTGGCCAGACACTATCAGAGACAACCTATTGTGGGAGACAACAAATCAGATCCCAGCGGAGGAAGAAGTCAGGAAGAAGCGATGGAAGTGGATAAGACACACATTGAGGAAATCACCCAACTACATCACAAGGCAAGCCCTGACTTGGAATTCCCAAGGTCAAGGGAGGAGAGGAATACCAAAGAATACATTATGCCGAGAAATGGAGAAGAACGTGAGAAGAATGAACAACAACTGAATAGAAATAGAGTGTAAGGCCCAGAACAGAGTGCGTTGGAGAATTCTGGTTGGCGGCCTATGCTCCATTGGGAGTAACAGGCGTAAGTAAGTGAGTATGGTTCACTGATTTTACTAAGACGTTCTGTAACTTCATGTTCAACTACATTCGGATGTCCCCATTCGTGTTCTTGTTCATTACATCAATAAGTAAGAGTACTCAGATAAATTCTAATACAGAAGAGTATAATGAAATCACTGGGTAAGTGAAGTCAAATTGTTAAGCACTATAGACTTAATTTTATACATGCAATCATATGAGTATGTTTATGTTTTTTTTCTTTGCGGTAAAACATAATTTAAAAAATGGAATACAATTCCAGAATGAGACATTAGTGCCATGTTGCAGAGATTTGATATTGATTCTATATTCTTCACGAGTTTATATCATGGATTGATCTTCGATAGATAAGCAGTGAAAATCAAAGAGAACTGAAAAGCTATTTCGTTCTGTTATGGAATTCCTTATCTGTGTACATCCAAGAAAGACCCTGAGTTTAGTTTGAAAGTCCTAGGTTCAACCCCTAACATGTAGAGTTATTAATACAAATTGCTGAGAAGTCACATATCATAACGAAATATTGTCCATTTCCCTTTGGTTTTTAATGGCCGTTCATTCAAGATAGATCTGTGATGTTAAACTGGGAAAAATTTAACCTCTTTTATAAATGATGCTGTATTTATTTGAAATAAACATTGATAGTGTAACTAAAAATTGGTAACATTCATAGAGAAGTTTTCCAGAGTGAGTTAAACAAAGTTTCATCCACTATTGTACTATATATAGGCTTTAACTATAGTTAACGGTTTGTTTTCTTAAGCTTATTTATTGTGATTGCCTTCCTCGTTGTCCTAATTCATGACTAAATAGTCATTTTTAGTTGTGTGTTTTTTAACTGGATGAAAAATGGGATCGATATCGGCATATTTATTAATCACTGATTGATCTAAGTTTCAAACTTCTATAAATTCTCTGGTATTATTTGTATTCCCTCTGTCCGAGATTTCAATATTTCACCAGCCAAATATGTGTGTACAGTTATATACACAGATTGATATAAGTGAAAATAAACCAGTTTTCTTCCATCTAAAATTTATATTAATAAATAAAAATGAAAGCTTCATTATTAAGCCATCCAGCTGAAAATAATTCAGCTCTACCTGGATCATTATTCTGAGCTACAAATGTTCGTCAACATCCCAATGTGTTTGATGAACTGTACATTATTTACTGACCTATGATTTTCAATTTACTATTATGTTATGTGAGATAGTAACTCAGTGATGACAATGGTGGATGTGTCACTGAATTTCATGGATCAATCGAAGTGAGATATTGACACCGTTGAATGCCGGTCAGCTCAGTGGTTTAGTGGTTAAGTGCTCACGCGCGAGACCGATAGGTCCTGGATTAGAATCCCTCGAGGCGGGGTCGTTGATGCACACTGATTAGGAGTACCACAATAGGACCAAACGGCCATCCAATGCTTTCCGGTTTTCCATGATGATCTATTTTCAACAACACTAGTGAGCTAATTATTACAATTAAACTGAAGTTCTGTTGTAATGAATGTTGTATACAAGATAAACCAATATCTATAGAATACTTTTAAATAAACTGTTCACAAGACTGATCATAAGTAGTATGTATGCCTCAAAGTCGGCACAATCATCAAACGGAGAGAAAACTTTCTGAACCTAAAAAAACAGCATAAGCACAACACTTACGAACCACAAGAGAAGACATTTCGCATTTCAGAAAACACCCTAAGATGCAAATGAATAACCGAAGGTACTATATAAACACTGTAGTTTTTCATTGTAGAGATTGAGTCCTTCTACCACTGTATTGTTTTATAACATGTTTAAATCATGAAAGCCTACTCTTCTCTATTACTTAAATCTTTGTGTATTATGTAAGGCTTAATTAAATTGATAATTATAATGCTGTTGAGTAGTATGGATTATAATTCGGAATCATAAATCCTATGGAAAAGTAATTATTCTTTTGAAACTCCGCCAGAAGTCCCTCCGGGGGCTACTGCCGGTTCCAAGCTCGGATAAAGGAGGAGGGTTGAGCATGGGGTTAGCGACCCTATCCCGTAGAAAACTAACTCGCTGAAAGAACGCTAACCAAAAAGTATTTTAAAAACAGAAATTAGTTATAACACAAAGAAAGAGCACTCAAGACTTATCATTGTCACTGTTTAAAATGCTTGTGACTTAAGGCTATACTGAGACAATCTGATCAGGATGCACATATGCCAACATGAGACTGATCAATTACAGTCCTAAATAACAATAGGAAGATAAAAGTAAAACAATACCAAGGACAATCGCATTACATTTAACTCAACACTACAGAGTTACTTGGTAAAATAGAAAA